CTTACCGTGACCCTAAGACCTCATTCACACTAGAAAAGGCCGGCACGTACAGCCGCATCGGGCAGCTCCCGGGAAGGACAGGTGCTGCGTGCGATTAGTACACAGCCCCTGTCTTTCTCTATGGGACTACGGGCCGTACGCCGCCCTACGCTCACCTCAAGTGCAAGTCTGTACGGGTGCGGGTGTCTCGGCTCGGAAGCTGACCTGATCCATCCTGGCAGCGTACAAGTACACTCACGCGCACGGACGTGCAAGGTGGGTGAGCATAGGGCGGCGTATGGCCGCATACTCCCTTAGAGAAGGACAGGGGCTGCGTACTAATCATGCGCAGCACCTATGCTTCCCTATCCCTCAGCGTTGCGCACATACGCGCACGTACACACACGCCTTTGCCTGTGCTTATGCGCACGATTATGTACAATATTATCACCAAAACATTTCACACCCGCATGCACAACGGCTCTCAAAGTACCTGTTCCGTGTAGGGTTGCCACCTTTTCTTCTTCAAGGGAAACCTGGACACTCTAGCGACGCATAGATATTTATTTGGAAGAATGAGTCGCGGCTTATTTATATGTAAATAGAGTCACCCAATCATGTGTAAATATCACAGTTGAGACTATTTTCGGTGGGGGGCCAGTAGCCCCTATCTTAATTTTGGTTGCCCCTGTCTGCCTGACACCTTGTGTCCGGGTTTCTGCTGCCACGAAACCCGGACACAGCATTCAAAATCCGGACTGTCCGGGTGAATCCTGGACAGGTGGCAAACCTAGTTCCTTGTATACTTGCTTGATTTCCCTGCCACACCCCCACACCCCCTTCTTTCCCAGCAGGAGCCCCTTCTTCACACCAGAGGCATGGCGGTAGGGGAATATTTTGAGGCACCCCAGAGGAGGCCATAAGGCACCCCGGTTGAGAAAGGCTTGGTTAGACCATGAACAAACCTCACAGTCCATACCCTACGGGCTGTCGTTGATTGCAGTGTAATTGATCCCCCCGAGGGATCATCATATCGATGGCCCTCCTGTTGCAGAACATGTGAGCAGCAGATTGATCCCTATAAATCCCCGAAGTCTGGATTACACTCGGGCATTTTGTGGTGACGCTGAGAGCCGAGGAGACAATGAAGCGGAGGTTTAAGATTATCATTACTATTATTATTACTACATGACCTGTTTTACAAGGACACCATAAGTCATGCCTGAAATCATTTCTGCAATTTCCCATGGTTTAACACCTACCAGACCCGCTTTGATGTTGGCCTGTTGCGCAGCGAACGTCTAAAAATAATACCGCCGTGAACGCGAAGGACGGGGAGTCTGGGAACTATTAAACCATGTTTTGTGGTTATGTTTTTTTTCTTTCTGTGAAATTCTATAGACAGTCACCACAAAGTGCCGTGTTTGGAAAGTGCAGAAGACTGAATCTGTGGTGTGCAGAGGCTAATGAAGTAATACGGCAAGGTGGAGTGGAAATTGTACGCTGTAATTAAAGCTGAACTCCAGGCGGATATAAAAGACACAAATGAATGCGGCTCTGTGTTCGGGAACACCTCGTTACATTTATTTTTATTTAAATACGTATTAGTGTAAGAACCTGAATTTGAGCGGATACCAGTATCTCGCAATGCCCTGCACAGCAGAGCTCAGACTAAGAATGGGAGGCCGTCAGTTGTATTGAGCATGCTGATAGGAGGAACGAGCAGAGTGATAAGCTTATGCTGCCTTTCCTTTCACTGTATAGTCACAAGCTGGGGGAGGGAGAAGGCTTATAATAGGGGTCGTCCCTAGCATTTTCGCTGCCCGATGTGGCAGGCGGGGGGTTTGCTGGTGGTGCACGCTAACCAAGATGGAATGAGGTCTGCCAGCCAGAGTGTCCCGCTCAGCCCCTGGCAACCAGTGACATCACTGGTTGGCAGGAAATGGGGTGGTTTGCAGATGAGATCATCCAACTCCTCCAGGAGCTGAGCAGGATGCTCTCTCTGGCAAACCGCCCAGCTGAGTGGGACACCGGTCAGAGCGTCCCACTCAGCTCCTGACCAGTGACATCACAGGTTGACAGGAACTGGGCGGTTTGCTGATGAGATCATCCTACTCTGCTCTTGGCAACCAGTGACATCACTGGTTGCCAAGAGCTGAGTGGGACACCAGCCAGAGCATCTCGCTCAGCTCCTGACAACCAGTGACATAACTGGTTATTAGGAACTGGGCGGTTTGCTGGCGAGATCATCCTGCTCCGCTCTTGGCAACCAGGGACATTACTGGTTGCCAGGAGCTGAGTGGGACACCGGCCAGAGCGTCCCGCTCAGCTCCTGACAACCAGTGACATGCAGGAACTGGGTGGTTTGCAGACGAGAGCATCCTGCTCAGCTCCTGGCAACCAGTGACGTCACTGGTTGCCAGGAGCTGAGTGGGACACCGGCCAGAGCATCCCAGGCTGCTAAGAGCTGGGCGGGGAGATGAGTATGGCCCTTAAAAATATCCCCACCTGGCTCTTGGCAACCTGGGACACTCTGGTCGGAAAGGGGGCAGTCATCACACTGCAAACATTGTGCAGCACACCACTCTGCCTGCCGCCTCCCCACATGATCCAAAGACATGCCGCCTGAGGCAACTGCCTCATTATAGGGACGGCACTGCCTATAAGTGTTACTTAAAAGCAGCGCAATAAACTCAGGTCTCCTCCCCTGCCAAACAGGGCTGTGCTGTGTGGCAAAGATGTGCAAATCTGGGGACTGGCTGGACAGACATACAAATCCTTTGGCAGGTAAAGCAGCTCCCATATCTGCATTTCCTCTTGGTATGTGTTTGCCTGGAGCTTTAGCTTTACCATCTACCCTTCTTGTGTAGCTTTTGCTCCGTTTCACGGTGACTCCTGTGGTTTTGTCTTTTCCCTGTCCCCTTTGCGGCTGCATGTCATGTGGTTACCTTTAATCATTTTGGTGATAAGGTCGTACGTAGTGACACACATTCACCAGCGGGTGTGTGTGGGGGGATTTCACATAATATTGATCTTACAGGATGGCATTTTATTCTTTCATCATCCTCCAGTTGTCACCAGTACGTGTTTTGCGCCCAGTCGATTTTCTCATATTTTCCTCTCAGTTCAGTAGTGCATGGGAGAAAAACCTCACGGGCCTCTGAATCATTTGTATAAAGTTTTGTGTGGGAACTCTTCCTTGCTCTCATGAACACATTGGTAGTTGAAAGATATAGGTGCCAGATATGGACCTGATCCACCAAGTAGCACTTAAGGTGCCATAAAGTGCACTTAGCGTATGCTAAAGTGGCCTTTCAGTCAGTATTATGCCATATTAGTAGGTTTAAAGTGCTCCATGGCCCCCCTTGCCTAATCTAAAGTTGAACTTCCTCCCCACCCAGGTGCTTAATTGGCTTTTTCCTGATGGCAGCCGCTTCCTGCCATGTTTACAGCTGGGGAAATGGCCTGGGATTTTTTTCTTTTTTAGGTAAAGTTGTCCATTATGTGCCATTGCAGCCAGAGGTGTCCCTATACTTTTTGCGGTCTAAGATCGGGGTAGAAGGGGTGCTAGGGTGCACAATCCGGGGGGGGGGGGTGGGGGGTAGAGGGGAGTCATAGTGGTGCACTTTACTGGGAGGGCTGTGGGAATGCTGCTGTTTGTGTGTGTGGTTGTGGTGCTGCACGTTACAGCTAGCTCTGGCTCTGTACGGTGTGACTGGGGGCAGGAAACGTTTAAAACGTTATACTCACCTGTATCTCCGAGCCAGCTTGCTCTTAAACCGGTACTTCCAGCCTTACACCCCATGCGCTGCAGCGGTCTATAGCCCCTGAGTCATCACATTCTATACTCTGCATATAGTAAGTGAGGACGCTGAGAGCCATACCATCGCTGCAGTGTAGGAGGAGACAGGCAGGAGGGAGCAATGTCACATTCAGCTTGCTCGGTGGATCGGGTGAGTATAAATTTTTTGTTATTTTCCTTTTACCAAAATGAGCCGTTAACCCTTGCAATGCGTGGGGTAGCCCCATCTCAAGGGTCAATCAAAATCCTGCCCCGAGTTTTTTAACCACCGAGCTGCTGTCTACTTTTTTTTTTTTTTTAAACATTTTATTGTGTTGACAAATTCAAGGAATGTTTACAACATGTTTTGCATGGCATCATCAACAGTCTTTCATTTTTCTGTTTTCCAACAACTTCGCATTAACATAATCCTGCTGGATCTATTGAACATTGCATATCCTATCCTATCCTATCCTAAGGTACATTTTGTAGTGCGACCCCGTGGTAGGGTTTATACTGCGTGGTATCTCCATCATTGTATTTAATAGAGGAGTGTTCTAAGGTGGCTCGGGTAAGAGCAAGAGCAAGTGGCCCATCTGCTGTCTACTTTTTTAGCGGGTCCAGAAGCAGGCAGCAAAGTGAAGAAACCTGAGAAGAAACCTAGATACAAATTGTAACAAAAATAATACAAAAACATTTAACAAAATACAAATCATAAAGAAAGCAATACAAATAAACAATAATATATCTATATATCCAAAATGTAAAAAACAATAATAAACAAAACATGTCAGTAAAAAAAGTAGGACATTATTAACCTAGCCTTTAACCAGGGATGCTGTTTGCTGTGAGAAATGACAACAGCGAGTCAAATTATCGAGCAGGATAATTCTGGAGGTTGACAAGTTTTCTTTTCTTTCTCTTTTTTGTGAATACAAGCTGTGTCCACTCCTTTCCAAAAAATGCCTGTGTTATTCTTGTGATTTTAGGAGACTAGCACTGGCTGGTACTGATAAGCAACTGTCCTGTGACATACTGTTTTTATTAACTCTATGGAAGTAATTCACCATTAAAAACAATCGGGTTTATTTGTGTTTTCTTTCTTTCTTTTTTGTTTTATTTACTCATGTTTGCTCATGCCTAACATGATATGATGCCAATGAAAATGCTGTCGACGTGCTCACTTGCACTCTTTATTTATTCATGTTCTGAGTCGATTTTTTTTTTCTTTTTCCATTAGGGTAAAGAGAGTGACCTTTTTTGGGTGGTTGTGACTGAAGTTTGCTTTGCAGAAGCAGCTACTTGTATAAGGTAATTACTTTCAAGATTCATTTTTCAATGTGTGTTTATTGTGTTTTCATATGTGTACATAGAAAGTCAGCAGTTACTGTTTGGCTGAGAACTTTCAGACCAGTTCCTTGTACAAAAGTCAATTGGATGAAATCAACTTTTGTTGAAAGGAGGGTTGCCAATGGGGTCACAGACTGCTTGGATTTCATCTAAGGCCTGTTAGCGGTAGTCTGTACGAATTTTCGTTTGTGGGCTAATTTTCGTGGCATAAAATGTTTTTCTTTTTAAATGTCACTTTGCTGCAATAAAAAATGTGTACAGACTACCGCTAACGAATTTCGTCTGAATCTGAATCCTGAAACAAATTTGACTTTCGGACCCAAATCCCAAAAAACTAAACGAAACAAAAATTTTTGCCGGTGCACATGTCTAGTCCCTGAGCTTCTTTTTAGGCACTTGTCAGCTCGTTTTGCTCCATAGCCGTCAATGGAAACGTGCCACTTAGCGCGTTTTTGTGCAGGTTTTTTCAGCGCATTTTTCCAGCTGAGACTGCTTTTCATTGGACAACTGGAAACACGCATAAAAACCACGCAAAAATGTGCGCGCTGAAATGTTGTCGCCCTGCTGTGAATGGGGTCTTAGTCAGCAGGACTTGGCTGAAATTCCAGCATTGCATGACCGGCTTAATTTCTGGTTTTTAGAAACCATTGGAATTGGCGCTAATTTGGCCAAAATTCAAGCTTTCGGTTGCCCTGCGAGCACCACCCGGCTCAAAAAAGTTGATTTGAAAACTGGCCACTGAGCTGGGTGGGAAATTTATTGGGCGAACGTTGACTGCGTCCAATCTGTCTAAATACTGTGCTGCCCATGTACCTGTTAGGGAGATTTGCGCTCTCTATTTGTCCTGGCGACCATTGTCCCTGGGACTGAAAGTGAGGAAAAGCCCCAAATCTTTGTTGCCACCAGAACAGCAATAGAGGGGAAATCTTCCAATGAGGGTGCTTGTTCCAGGCACAGCTATCTAAAAGGGGGTTTTACCTCACTTTGGAGAGATTTTGTCTCACTTCCTGATGTGCCTACAGGACAGAGTCAAGATAAATCTTTCAAATGGGACACAATTGGCAAACAAAACAACCTGACGGGTTTTAACTATTCCTTACCCTATCCAAAATGGTGCATCCTATGGCACCATTCACAGGATCTGTGATTGTAGAGACTACAGGTCTCATTTACCACTATAGTAGAGTGACTCAAAGATTTCAATAGAGGTAAGAGGGGGATGACATCCCTGCACTTGTAGTTCATTGTTTACTTTCTCCAGTCCTATTTCTGAAGGTCCGCACCTTAGTACATATGGGGGCTGAAGAAATAGTTTGCAGGAGCCCGAGCACTGAACCCGCGATCCACTGATCACACTTCGCCGGCTCCATTGAAAAATAATTAATCAATGCACATTTTTTTATTTTATCAAAGTGTACATTTATTAATTTAGTTCTAAGGATGGACTATTCCTTTAAAACACATTACTTCTACATAGAGCTTCCAGCTGCCCCATCCCTACACCTCGCAGAGAAAGAGGATAGTTCACTTCAGGTCTGTAGAGGGTCTGTTGATCACTCTAAATGGCTCGTATACCTCAGTGCTTCTACTGGATTGGTCCATTGAGATTACAGAGGTGGTCATACAGGAAAAATGAAAAAGATGAATGGAAATGCAAATGTACTTTGGTGACTCTTCCTGCTTACCCTGTGGCCCTAGACAGGGACCCATAAGAGCATTATCGTAAATATGGCTCCTCTTGTGTGTATACAGTATAATTAATTTGTTGAGCGCTGTACTATGCATAACCAACAAGCAACTATGGATATCTCGTTATAAGCAGCTCAGCGATATTTATGTTCCACAACTTCATCGCGGAATGCACCGTGAAAAAGGCCTTCGGGTGCGAACATGCTATCAGACAGAAGTTCCCGAGAGGAGTTTCACGTAGCTCTTAGCGTGTTACTACAGCAGTATCACCCGCTCGATGTTCATCTGCTTGCTTCATAATCACCCTTTTACAAAAATGTATCGCTCTCTAGACACCATGGCAACCGTGATGTCACCGGCAGCCAGTCATCGCCGTGCCATGTGATGTCAGTGCTTATTACTGCTTGCTGTGACCTTGTAAGAGTATAACATGGCTAATTGAATCTAAATGTGAGATTGTCGCCATACTGCCGCTTTTAGCCCCTCCGTGTACAGCTGGTTATTTGTGGGTTGTGTTTTTTTTCCTCGTAGTGGTAATTGTTCATTTGTAATAAATAATAGGTTTGATGTATGATACTTTTTTTAAAGTTGTTTTAAAGAGTAATTATGCTGAATGATAAAGAAGAACCCCACCAAACCCTTTTTTCAGTTCAAATGTATCTCATAAAAAAAAAAATAAACTGAACTTTTTGGTTGCTTTTGCAGTTCTGTGCAAAAAAATGGTTTGTTTGTGACCATTCCTCCGCCTTAATTCAAAACCTAGGCCCCACACAGACGGCAGACTTTACTGCCCTCCCTAAGGCCCCATTCACACCAGGGAGGAAGCGTTTCAGCGCGGTTTCCGCACAATTTTTGAAAGGGCTTTTTTAATCGCGTTTCAGCGCCTAAAAATAGCTCAGGGAGCATTTTGGGTGGCAGGCGGTTCGGATCTCGTGGAGCCACGCAATTGCATGAATGGTCCCCCATGGGAATATATGGGATCGTTCATGTTGGCGGTTCAGCGCCGACAAATCCTCCCGACCGAACCGCCCAGGTGTAAACAGGGCCTATAAAGCGATCCGTGGTGAAGCGGCAATTGTATAGATGCTTTGGAAGTGATACTGATGCTTCCTGAATGTGGTTTTTTTTTTTTTGTATCCCAAGTTGTATTTTAGATTGAAATACCACATGGCAGTGATTGCGTTGCAGTCCTATTGACTTCAACGGGCATGTGTGGCAAATGGCAACTACAGCAAAATATATGGACCTGAGCGGCTCCATGTTAATTTTAGGTAGCTTTTCACATGCTATAGGCAACTATAAGATTGTGGGTCTACATGGGATTCATCTTATCGGGACAGGTAACTATTCACGCCATGTAGCTGCTTTTTTGTAAATGAGGGCAGGTTAAACTGTATGTTGTATGCTGCAGGGCTGTATCAGGCAGCTCCCAGAAAGGACAGGTACCACATGTGATTAGTACGCAGCCCGTACCCTTTTCTATGGGAGATCGTGGCCGTACGCCGCCCTACGCTCTACGCCGATTCTCTTGTGAATGAGGCCTACCAATAAACTTCTTTTATTTGCTAAGTTTTGCCCTGTTAAACACACCACTTAAAGGGCTTTGTTATATCTATTCAATAAGTGTAAATATAACTACCTGTTGATCATGTCAGAAATTCAGAGCTGTCTCACATCCTGCGCATAATTTCTGTGTTATCGCAAGGAGTTTAATTAGCCCTCCTAGTTCTTATTGTGGGACTACAGCTTGATTAGTCTCTATGTTGTGGATAATAGGATAGGAGTATTTTTGTGAACTGCAAACCAGTTCACAAAAATACTTTGTGTTGTCACCCCACACCAGGATGTAGGAGGAGTGCATTTCTGACAGATCAGCTGGTATGTTTCTGTACTTGCAGGGTCTTTAAAGGGATAAAAAAAAATTATTACAAAGCTTTACTGCATATTTATTTTTTTATTTATTTTGCCCTGAAATACACTTTAGGGAAGCTGCAGACCTCAAGTATTTTTTTGCTCACTTAAAGGAACAGGTTTTGCTTGCATCCTATTAAAGATTCTGCCTGAAACCACCCCTAGAGGGAGCTCTTGTGAGCTATGGGGCAGACTGCTCATTCAACCCAGAAGCTGCCTCCATTCTCCCAGGAGCTCCTTCTTACAACGCAGTATGATGTAACCATCAACTAGGAGCCTTTAGGCCACAGCAAGGGAACAAATTAATCTTTTCAAGTACGATTTAGGGTCCTAGTTTTCTTTCTGCCTATAGGAGAAATGATAGCTATAGATGGCATGGAAATTGCAGCTATCCATTAAGCTCAGAGAGATGTCACTTTTGGCCCTTGTGTGTAGAAAACCCTAATCGACCCCTAAGCTTTTGAGATTAGAAAATACTTAAAGGGCTACTAAGATTCTCCCCATTGTATGAGAAGATATGCATTAGCTAATATGAAGTAGCAGTTGCCCAAGTTGGGGCTACTTTGTTACTGGCAGTTTTGTTTTCCTGTTTACCCATCCTCTGTGCGTTTCCTTCGCTGGTGATTGCTGATAGTAAGTTGTGCTCTCTGCGCTCGTAGGTGTGTCCACTGAATGTTTATCTGTTTATCAGTTATGTTAGGAAGGAAAATTGTTTGCAACTCATACATGTTAAACTTCAACGGTTCTGGAATGCTGTCACCTTTGGTTCAGTTCCATTGTAGGGACATTTGATTGTAAGCCCCCATTCGCATCAGGGTATTTTGTAGCTCAAACACTCAACAGGAGGAATCACTTTGTTTTTAATGGCCCCTGTTCACATGTGAGCATCCTGTCACTTGTAGGAAGACACCTGTATCTTGCAAAAGTACCTAGGCTTTTTATGGAGCAGAGGGGAGCATCAGGGAAACATGCAAAAACTTTCGTAACGGGCGCCTAGCAATTAGCTTTTTATTGGCTACATTAATAAGAAAACAATGCTCTAGCCTTAAATGCATTCAAGAATTCATGTACAAGTGCTCAAAAAATGCCTAAAGACGCTCCGCTCAAGTGTGAATGGAGTTAGGTTTATGGTTAGGTTTCTCCGCAGAGTGCCAGTGCCATATAAATGAGTCAATTACACAAGTAATTGTGCTCAGATCACTTTATAAGAGTCTTCTTGTTTGAAAAAACAGCTGATGATCATGTAGGGCAGTGATGTCACAAAGGTCACAGTTGTGACTGATGGCTCTACTGCCACTTAGCTTCGACACAGGAATACATTATAATGTTGTGCGATTACATCATACTACAAGACCTCATCT